TAATAGCATAGAATATTACTAAATAATAATAAACATTTCTTTTTTTTTTAAAGAGAGAGAGTGAGAGAGAGAGTGAGAGAGAGAGTGAGAGAGAGAAAGAGAATTTTTAATATTTATTTTTTAGTTTTCAGCGGACACAACATCTTTGTATGTTGCTGAGGATGGAACCCGGGACACACGCATGCCAGGCAAGCGCGCTACCGCTTGAGCCACATCCCCAGCCCTAATAATAAACATTTGTCCCTGAACACTAGCCACCTCCATCCCACTCCCAGGAAGTCTTATGTCTGGCTTTTCTGGTAGTTGGCACCTGTGTTGAAAAGACCTCTACTTCCTATGTCATCAATCCTAGATGATGTCTGAGGCCTTCATACTTCTCCACATTCCACCTTTCCTCCATGAATCACCATCATTTTTGTAATATTACTATTTTTAATTCTTCTGGTGGCTAGTTACCTTTGTAAATTTAGAAAGCTTTTCTTAAACCTCAAAATTTGTTCATAAACTTAAGACAGTACCTATTGGTACTTCACTAACTCTGGTAACATACTGGTAGTGGGTGGGGAAACTTGAAATGTACAGAAGCTAGTGGAAAGAATTTAGAAGTCTCTAAAGATGTCTACCAAAATCACTGCAAGGTACATACACTCTAAAGAATCTCACAAAGAAGACACATACAAAGATCACTGTTGCAGTATTGTGTAACATTTAAAAACAGCTCTAACAGGGGCTGGGACTGGGGCTGGGGTTCAGCCGTAGTGCACTTGCCTGGCATGTGTGAGGCACTGGGTTCGATCCTCAACACCACATTAAAATAAATAAATAAAATAAAGGTATTGTGTCCATCTACAACTAAAAAAATTTTTTTAAAAATTATTAAAAATGCTACTCACACCCTTTTATCCCTCCCCTCTCCCAAAACTGAATACACTTGTGTGTCTTCATCAGTGATACTGCACAGTAAGGACTCCACTACATTTCCCACTTACGCATTCACCTGTCTCTCCATTTCCCTCTCTCACAGAGATGTCTTTTAGGTACGTGGGCTTACCTACTTTCTTCATAGCTTTTACACATATCATGGGAAATTTTTTGTCATAATGTGGGAAGATGACCAGGATAAAGCACAACATAGTCAAACAACTCTAGCAGACAGAAGACACGCCCCCTCCCCCTCAGGAAAAGAGCCTCATGAGTAATACACATCCTGCAGCAGCTTCCCCAGACTCACGCTCAGCACTTTGGATAGCCTGCCAAGGGAGACTTATGACACGGGGTTTTCATTCATACACTTAAATCTCATAAACATTTCTGTGACTTATTACAGCAAGTAGAGTGAGTCCTCCAGAACAGGGAACATGTACTCCATATGCTATTTATGGGCAAACACACTCCCTAAAGTATGAAAGCACTGAGGGAGAAAACTGCAGGACAGCGACTGTCTTCTAGGGAGTGAGTGGGAGACACAGGATCAGGAAAAGATAGCTGAAAAGTTTCATATATCTTTTGATTTCTTTTTAAAAGGTGAGATAAGGGTCTGGGGCTGTGGCTCGGTGGTAGAGTGCTCACCTAGCATGCATGAGGCATTGGGTTCAATCCTCAGCACCATATAAAAATAAAATAAAGATACTGTGTTCACCTAAAACAAAAAAATAAATAAATATTTTTTTAAAAAAGATGAGATAAAAGGTGAAATGCTATCATTATTAAAATACCAGCACAGGGCACGTTATTTCCTGTAGAGTTTTATGAAATTTGAAGGACCAATGAAATTTTTAACCCATCTGAAACAGGCACAAGTCTACCAATATTGAGCAGATCACAGAAACTATTCAAGAATTTGAATCTGATACTACACAGGACAAGGGAACTAGCGTGTGCCTGTGGTTTTAGCCCTGTAAACCTCGTATCCTGACAAGACTGCCTTCCATGAGAATCTCCACCCCGCCTCTGGCCTCCTGATCCCAACCTTGACCACTCTTTACCTCACATAGATCTGCTCTGGCCACAGTGGCCACCTTGCTACTCCTTGAACACAGAGTTGCCTCCATCTCAGGGAACTTCTGCCCCTGGGTTTTCATGTCTAAATCCTCACCTTCTTCAAATCCTTGCTAAAATCCACCACCACTACCCTCTTTAAAATGACAAAGTGAGTCCCCAGCCTCTTAACCCCTGCTTATCTACCTGTCAGTTCTTACCACTTTCTAGCATTATGTAATTCACACACCTCCACCCACAAAAGAAAACCCAGAAATTTAGACATGTTTTATCCTTTGATGAATACAGGTGCCTGGATAGCACCTAGCACAATGCAAGCACTTAAATATCTTAATTAATAAAGCTTCAATCATTCTGTACTACAGTGTTCTCTGGCACTCACACAACTTCCAATCATTCTTTGCACCCACAATACTGCTCAAGTATACACTTTAATTCAAATAGTGTGAGTGTATTCCCATTTCTGTGAATTCTGATTCAGAGTCTAACATGCAGTAAGAAACTTGATGTTTTCAGAATTAATGAATTCAACATCTTGAACATAAGGGATGCAGGACATTTCTATTACAAAAAGAATCACCCTCAGGTAACCAACTGCAGGTCTCTCTTTGGAAAGATCACCTTAAGGCACAATTAGAAGACTACTGTCCAGGTTCAGAGCTTTTTTTCTACAAGGACAATAAAAAGATGCACTCAAAATGTCATAAAAATAAATATCATCTTAACACATACACAGATAAAAAAGAAGTCAGGTCAAATTTAATTAAGATCCAATAGCAGGCTATGGAGAAAAGGTATTTATCTCTACTTTTTTATTTTTATTGACCTCTGTTTTGACAGAGAAACAATGTCGCCAATAGAAGTTTATCATGCTAATTAAACATTTCAGGGAATAAATTTTAAAATAAATTATTTAAAAGTTGGTAGTGGGGCTGGGGTTATAGCTCAGTGGCAGAGCACTTGCCTAGCACATGTGAGGCATTGGGTTTGATCCTCAGTACCACATAAAAATAAATAAATATATAAAATAAAGGTGGTGGGGGAAGCTGATAGGAAAAGTTTTTTTGTTTGTTTGTTTTTTATATTTATTTTTTAGTTCTCGGCGGACACAACATCTTTGTTGGTATGTGGTGCTGAGGATCGAACCCGGGCCGCACGCATGCCAGGCAAGCGTGCTACCGCTTGAGCCACATCCCCAGCCCCAGGAAAAGTTTTTAAAATGGCCACAAATTATTTGACATGCCTCGAGTTGGGGAAGTGCAGGTTAATACTCCATGCCCTTCATTCTGTCCTGACCTTAGTCATGAATGAGCTTGTTTAACAACTAATCAGAAGAGGTCATGGAGTTTCAGCCAGGTTCTTTGGAATGCCTGCTCTCTAAAGTGTCCTTTCACAAACTGGTACCCAGTTATGATGTCATGGAAAGGAATCATAAAGGTACTCCGGTCACATCATGGCTAAGCCTGTCTTAGCCTAGGTCAGTCTAGCCCAGGTGTCCTGTGAAGAAGCGGCCAGATGATCCCAGTCACAAGTCATCTAAGTCTTCCAGTATTTGAGTCTTCCAAGCTAGTCCCAGACACTCCGCAGCAAAAACAAGCCGTCCCTGCTGTGCCCTGACCAAATTCCTGACCCTCAGAATCTGAGCATAAATAACTGGTTGTTGTGTTGCACCACTAAGCTTTGGGGTGGCTGGAGAGAAAGAACTGGAAACAAGTGCTGCCCCAAGTCTTTATCTAATCACCATACTTCATTTTTTCATGAGATGTCATTGGTTAGTACACACAAGTCCTCTAGCAAAGGACAAAGCACTGACTCAATATTAACTTTGAAAGATGTCAGTCCTTTCCTAACCACCCAAGTCTGTGCCCTATACCAATAAGATGCACATATCTCTCACTCAAGAAATGCTAATGTGTCTGTCTCCTTCTCACTCTCTTCTCTCTCAGAGCAAAGCATTCTCTTTTCAATATACCACATCAGAAAGAGGAAAGTAAATTGTAGCTATTGGTACTCATGAGGCCCTAATGCTACGTGTGCAATATTTCTAAAATATTTTCTTCTTGAAGAAACAAATTCATAAAATTAAAAATGATCACAATTTATTATTTCCAAAAATCTTTCCCTAGAAACAAGGATCTATAACTGGTAGAAAAAATATTAAGGCAAAATTTTGATTTCAGAAAACAACTTTAAACAAAATCAGATGGACCCCTTTATTCTTGTTTTTAAGCACAAATTTAGTTAATCTTAAAGTATTATATAGCTATAGAGTGAAGAGCTCAAGGCTAATAATAAAAAAATCTTTTATTAAAGTCATTCTTGTAAAAGCAAAAAAAGTAAAAAGTAAAATTAAATGTATGTCTTATACTGGCAATAGAAATACTTTTTAAAGTAAAAACAACAAAAACTCAATTTTATTATGACTAGTTTGTAGTCAATACTGCCCTCTGGTGACACAAAATAAAAGTCAAATGTCAGAAAGTGAATGTAATACTTGATTTCAGTGTTCAAGTCAAGGCATCTAGTCTGGACTACAAATTCCACCAAAGACAAAATAAATAGATTCATTATTACCTTCATTATCTATTTCATGTTAAATTAGAGACTCTCAAGGGTTCTTATACATGGAAAGAGCAGTTCTTGCATAAACTATTAATGAAACATCATTACATGGTAAATTTTATCTTTAGTAAAATTATTCAATTTAAGGAAGACCCTGAAGACATGCTACTCATAAGTTAAGAAGGCATGCAGGACAGTGAGAGGAAAGCCTTGCCATCTGTAACAGAAAATTCCATGGGAAGGGAGCCATAGTTCTCAGTGCCTGTGTATCTAACACACTGAAAAGTACCCATGGAAACCAAGGCCTCACAAGCCTGCCAACTCTGCCCCTCAGGAAACCTTACTCCTTATTTTTAGGAAAAAATCTTAACAAAAAAGAGCACATTTGGCTGCTAAATATTCACTAAGTGTAGGAAATGTTTCAAGAAAAAAAGACTTACCAAGGCTAGTGCCATCCTGCCCCATGATGCACTTCATTGAGGTGATGATCTGCTCCACCACAGGGGGTGACAGAGATGTGGCATACACTGCACTATGAGAATGTGTGCGCAAATAGTCAATCAGCTCCTGGGGAGTTCAAAGAGGCAGATAATTAGAGGCAATTCTTTAATTTACTGGCAATGTCAGTTACTACCTTCCTTCCAGGTGCCAGTGGACACCTCCATTAAAAGGCCTGGCAGAGACACTAATCTGAGATGTGAGGTTAACCGACAGGGTCAAAGTGTCAGCAACAACAGGGTTAGAATCTCTACAAAGGTTTTTAATCTTTGTTTGATTTTTTTTTAAACCAATTTCAAAGTATCTTTTCTCTATTTAATGTTACCAACAAACAAGGAGGCGTTCTGGATTTCCCTTTTACATACAATAATTTACTTCTAAGCATTACAGAAAATTTCACTTTCATCTCACCTTACACTTGCAAGGCTCATCCTTATACCCTTAAAGTAAGAGTACTCAGTCTTGGGGTTCAGCTTGGTGGTAGAGCAAATGCCTGGTGTGTGAGATTCTGGGACAGTCCCCACCAATAAATAAACAAATAAATAAATAAATAGTCTCTAATATTGGTTTTAAGGACATCAGAATATCCTCCAGGGGCTGGGGATGTGGCTCAAGCAGTAGCGTGCTCGTCTGGCATGCATGCAGCCCGGGTTCGATCCTCAGCACCACATACAAAGATGTTGTGTCCACCGAAAACTAAAAAATAAATATTAAAAAAATTCTTTCTCTCTCTCTCTCTTTAAAAAAAAAAGAAAAAGAATATCCTCCAGTTATATGGAGATTTATAAAATTATATAAATGTGGCAGAAATAAGTCTTTCATTAGAATACCAATGCTACCTCACTGCATAAAGTAAAGCCCTGTTACAAGGATTTCTAAAACAACTAATTATATACCCCTGTTCTCTGGTACTCTTTAACTTCACTTAAATCTTTAAATAAATAAAATGTGGGGCTGAGGCTATGGCTCAGTGGTAGAGTGCTCACCTGGCACTAGTAAGGCACTGGGTTTGATCCTCAGCACCACATAAAAATAATGTGGTGCTAAATATATATGTAAAAAAATACAAAATAAATAAATGTGCACACAAGTGTTATTACCAAAACCAAGTAAATAAACAAAAATGATAACATGTGTTAATACTTCTAAAATAGTAAAAAACATGCCCCCAAACCCAGAAGCACAAATGTTATACTTAAATGATCTCCCAGAATATTACTTTTCTATCCTCTGGTATGCAGGAATAAATCTTACCAAAAAGCAGTTAACTCTCCAAAATAAGCCCAGTTCCATTAACAAAAAGGGTAACATTTGAGAATAAAATCCACCAAGCCTGATTAAAACCTACTGAAAATGTGTTTTCCCTAAAAGGCAACCAATTATTTAAAGAATGACTATTCTTTAAGACACCCAACACCAGGAATTTAGAATATTTTTGAGTACCTACTATGTGCTATATATGAATATCTGACATATACCATTTTTTTTCTAATGTTATAGTGATTTTTAAAAATACTTTTATGAAAATATAAACCACATGCTATTATATTCACCTTTTAATTTTTTGGTACCAGGGATTGATGAGCCCAGAGGTGCTTAACCATGGAGCCACACCTCCAACCATTTTTATTTTGAGATAGGGTCTCATGCTAAGTTGTTGAAGCTAACTTTGAACTTATGATCCTGCTGCCTCAGCCTTCTGAGCGACTGGGATTAAAGGCATGCACCACTGAGCCTGGCTCATATTCACCTTTTGAAAGTGTACAATTCAGTGGCTTTTAGCATATTTGGAATTGTGCAACTTTCACCAGCATCTAATTTTAAAACATTTACATCACCCTAAAAGGGAAACCCATTAAAGGTCCCTTCTACTTCTCCCTCTCCTCAGCCCTGGCAACTTCTAATCTACTTTCTGTTTCTACACCTATTCTTAATAGAAAACTTCAAGAAAAATCATCATACAATATGTGACCCTCGGCAACTGACTTTTCACTTAACAGGATGTTGTCAAAGTGCATCCCTGTTGTATTAGGCACATATCATTTTAAACTCTTATTACAATATTACAAGAGCTAGGCATATCTATCTTTATTTTGCTGACAAACTGAAAAGTTAAATGCTTTCCTGAAGGTCTCACAAAGCAAGCAGAGGCAAATCCAGGCCTGTTTCTTTAGTTCACCATTGCCACCATGCCACATTGATTTTTTTTTTTTTTTCTGAGAGAGAGAGAGAGAATTTTTTTTAATATTTCTTTTTTAGTTTTTGGTGGACACAACATCTTTATTTTTTATGTGGTACTGAGGATCGAACCCAGTGCCCTGCTCATGCCAGGCGAACGTGCTATGGCTTGAGCCACATCCCCAGTCCCACATTGGTTTTTAGTTACCTCAAGTTCACTATATAATTTCAGAATTGAAAGATACAATGTTCTGTAGCACTCTAGAGCTAGCAAATGCTTTTTCTTCCTCTTTCTATGTTCACCCATGATACATTTGAGTCCAAGGGCCAGAAAACCGAGCTTCTGTTCCCACTGGCTCCCATGACAACCACACTACTTTCGAAACCCAGCAGCAGACTGGCAACAGGAAGCAGCACTGTGTGTCCTCTCACAAAAGAGGGTATTCTATATCTCAAACCAGAACGTAGTTTAGAAAGAAGCTCAAATAAGAAAACAACCAACAATGAACAGAACCAGCCTTTAGCTCAGTGAGGAGACATCAGCATCACTCTCTGGGCAGCTGAAGCGGGAAGCCCACTGGCACTAGGAGCTAAACCACAAACAAACTCAGGATCTCCACACCCCAGTTCAGGACTCATCTGCTAAACACTGCCAAGTTCAGGCATCCTGTTTTCATCTTTAATGGCCCATTCACCTTCTTGCCTCCAATGTATCCTCCAGAAGCACCAAAGCTCTTTGTGAACGTTCCCATCATGACATCCACATCCTCAGGATTCAAGCCAAAGTAGTCTACCACACCTCGACCTTTAGGGCCCAGGGCGCCGATGCTGTGAGCCTCATCCAGATACAAGTATGCCTTGTATTTCTTCTTGAGGGCAATCACTTCAGGAAGGCGAACAATAGACCCCTCCATGCTGACAAAACAGGATTAAAAAATATATACATTGAGACTTTTTACCTCTCAAAATTAGAAATTATTGCTTTACTATTCATGTTGTGAGTTTATTTCTTTTTAAATCATCTAACGACTTCACCTGTGGTTTTAAATCAACAGGGTTAGTTGGTGCTATGGCTTGGCAGAAATCTAGAGGAAAGGAGATTAGATCTTTTAAGACAAGTGCCAGAATACAATAGATCCTAATTCATGACGGAAAGAATTAAGGTCACAGCAGAGTCTTCTAAAGCTTGTACTTATAGGTAACATTAGACTTTTGTATTACATTGCATACACAATTAAAATTACACAAAAGAATAAAAAATTAGGAGATCAAAGCATAAGGACTAGCAACATTAATCGAAGACAAATATTTCTCAAAATTAAGTGGTATGTAATTTGGTTTGACATATTAGAATCCATATTCTTGCCCATATGTGTGAGTTCCCTACGCCAAGAGAAAAATGCAGGACCCAAAGAGAATGGGCATTAGGAGACTGTGTAGTATACACACAAAAAGCCTTGTATTCCAGTGCTGACTTTGCTTTCAGGGTTTTCAACAAGTCATAATACTGTTTCTTTAGTTTCCAGAGGGTGCAATGTAGCATTCCCTCCTTCAGCGTAATAATTCTAGAACTTCATGGACCCAAGTCACAAAGATCAGGACAGTGAAGTAGGATTACCTATATATTCCTTCCACAAGAATTAGAATTTTCTTCCAGGGCCTTCGTGTCCGAGGCTGACCATAAACAATGGCATCTTTTAATAGCTTCTCTAGGCTTTGCATATCTACAAGCACATGAAAAAGAATTGAGTCATAGACAATCTTCCTTTATCCTAACTTTCTTCCAAAAATTCAAATACATATTTCTTACTCATTCGGGAAGTGTGTCTTGAATAGCAAAGGACATGAACAAAAATAGAGTCAAACAAAATGAGACTAGGGCAAAATGGTGAACTATTACCACCTTTAACTGAAACCTAAATGTGACAAATATTCAAAACCATCAACATGATTAAATAACTGTGGTTACTGTCTGCTTCGGTTGCTTACCATGCTTTCTGAAATGACCAATGCTTCATCTTAAATACTTTGCCTTCAAGTTAGCTTTTCTGTATTTGTAGAATCAAAGTATATCTCTAATCCTAGTGAGTCATTCATAAAGAAGAGCATAAAGAAGACTGAGCAAGAGTGTGAACAAAGGGCTGGGAATGTAGCTCAGTGACAGTGCTTGCCTAATGTGCACCAGTACCAAATAAAAAGTTTGTGAACAAATCATAACAAATATGTATACCTTTACTTCAAAGTGTAGTCTCTACTTCCTTCCACCTGGGATGTACTCAATAAGTGCTTGTTAAATAGCCTTAATAGCCTAATCTTGGTACTGGGTTTAAAATACACCAATCTGGGTGCTTGTGTCTATGTTTTAAGCAAGCTTGGCAAGCAGTTGAGACTGTTCCCTATTCAACTTCCTCAGCCATTCATACATAACCAAGTTCTGTGGCTCTGCTAGTGCTAAAGGTGGTTAATCGGCCTAGGACACGACCTGGTATTACCATTAATGAGGATCATATGGTAAAGTTCCTATTAAAGACAAATGCTATGAAGACTGTTGCCACCATTATGACCTCCATATTTAAAATATTTGCTCTGAAATGAATCTTAAAAAATTCCCCCAGGGGCTGGGATTGTGGCTCAGTGGTAGCGCACTTGCCCAGCATGCGTGAGGCACTGGGTTTGATTCTCAGCACCACATACAAATAAATAAAATAAAGGTCCAGGGGCTGGGGATGTGCTCAAGCAGTAGCGCGCTCGCCTGGCGTGCGTGCGGCCCGGGTTCGATCCTCAGCACCACATACAAACAAAGATGGGGTCTGCCGAAAACTGAAAAATAAATATTAAAAAATTCTCTCTCTCTCTCTCAAAAAAATTTAAAAAATAAAAAATAAATAAAGGTCCATCAACAACTAAAAAATATTTTTTAAAAAATTCCCCCAAATCTAATCCCCAATTCTGGGGGATATTTAATAGTAGCAGGAGACACCTCACCATAAAATATGAATTTGCATTTTTTATTGCTCATCACTGGAGAAGGGGTTTACAAAATCACGTTTGCTCTTTTCATAAAAGAACTGTGATAAGGAGAAATAAAGCAACAAAAACACAAAGCACAAACACAAATATGATAACCAGAGGCTGACATTGTGCTTAAACTTTCAGCTATTTGCAATAAAGCAGTTTGCACCCTTCCTAAGAGAAGACAGAAGATGCTCTATACAGAAGTATATTTGCCCTAATTTTAAAAAAACATATTTTTTAGTTGTCAATGGATCTTTATTTTATTTATATGCAGTGCTTAGAATCCAACCCAGCACCTCACACATGCTAGACAAGTGCTCTACCACTATGTCTCAACCCCAGCCCAATCTGTCCTAATTTGAAGTCTATAGTTCTGCAGATAGAATGTGTGGCAATCAGCCAGAGACAAGTGTATACTTGTTATTTGAGTTTCTTATGTTTATAGACAGAAAGGAAGAGGAAAATAAATATTGATTCTAAGTTTTAGACAAGAAGAAATATCTATAACAGAATGCTTGATCATATTATCTATTTGGGAAAAAAACATTTAATCTCTTCCCCCTATTTCCTCAAATTTTAGTATATATTTCCTCAAATTTCACGGAAATTTAGGTTGAAATATATAGTAAAACTCCCAGAAAAGTATAACTTTATGATTGAAATGAGGAAGACATTAAGTAAAATCCAACAGTCCCAACAAGCATGACAAAATAATTTTGTGTCTGCATAGCAAGACACACAAAAAAAGATCAAAAATAAATTTAAAAATGGTGCAACTTTATATATAAAGGGCTCTTACAATCAGAGGAAAAGATAAACAGTTTGAAAATGGCCAATTTATAAAGTAACACCAGTAAACAAGTATCTAAAATAACTATATAAAAAGTTGCTTTACACTTAATAATAGAATAAAAATCAATGTACTATTTATTCACTAATTAGATTTAAAAAGATTTAAAATGATTCATAATAACCTATGTTGTCCAATGATTAGAAAGAGTTATTTGTATAATGCTTAAAAGCAATTTGGAAAAGGATTAAAAATTTACACCCTCTTACTCAAGCATTCTGAGACTGCCAGGCACTAATCAGATGATTGTACAAAAATGGGAGTGAAGTTCAGTTTCTAATAGAAAAGTTTAGAAACAATTTGAGGTTCATACTGAGGGGCAGATTCCCTTATGATAAAATCAGAAATAATTGCCAAACTGGCATTAAAGGAGGAGGTAGTCATAGCTACTAACAATCTATGTTCACATTGTTAAAAAAAGGAAATTGCAGGTTACACCTTAGGTTTCATTTGATAAAACAAAATACATTTTAAGCAAGAAAAACAGAAGAAAGTCATTAAGACCCATAATCCTTTTCTCCAGAGGTAAAGAACATTTTGGAATATATTATTCTAGACTTTGATCTGTACATACACACATTTTTTCTCACTGTGTGTATTTTAACTATGAAAATTATGTTGCATTGTGTATTATTTAATAGTACACAGATATTTCCAATTGGAGAGCAGGTTTTTGCTTTCTGGCACTTTTCTCTGAGGTCCTACAGTATCTGTACATATCCAGATCTCCGTACTTGCCTATTGTATTGTAGATGCTGGTTTAACTGTTAAATCTTTATTAACCAGAGATCCTACAGATCAGGAATCCTGATTTATTATCTCAATACCCTTCAGGCATCTATTATGTATACTTTAACAAGAAATTTGCAAACAAGAAAATGGAATGGAAAACCTGAAAGTCAATTAAAAGGAGACTATCACATTTTGCATATAAGATCTGTGTTTTTACTCCAATGAGGAAGTGCACAACTTTTAAAAAACAGGAGAACATTTTAAATTTTCTATTTAGCTTCATTTATGTTTTCTATTATTAATAGAAGTAATGTTACTATTACCATTGACACAAAGAATATTAAACCCTAAAGCATATAGTGAATTCTATGACAAAACTCACTGTTGTGCTTGAAGATTCGAATGGTTGCCCCCGACAGTCTGGCACCTAGAACCAGCGATGCATGGTTTAGCTCATCACTCAGAATTAAGCAACCCTGCAAAACCATAAGCATAGGAAGGTAAGATGATGGAGGGGAAAGTGTTAATTATGCAATTTACAAAAGGGTAGAGTCACTAATAATTAAACCCTATTAAGGAAACCCTACACAACAGCAAAGTGATCAATTTTTTAAAAAGTGTATTTGTTTTTGCAGAGATACCTTAGAAATCGATGCAAAATCCTAGCCTATTTAATACCTTCATTCTGTGATGGACCTAAACATTCAGATACACATAAAGAGGTTCTTATTCATATCTAAAATCATAAGATTTTAGCATATGAATAAGACCATCTTTAAAAGATTTGGTTTTCTCTGATTTGAGAATATTCTCTCTCTCTCTCTCTCTCTCTCTGTACCAGGGATTGAGATCAGGGCACTCAACTACTGAGCCATATCCCCAGTTCTATTTTGTATTTTATTTAGAAACAGGGTCTTACTGAATTGCTTAGTACCTTGCTTTTTGCTGAGGCTGATTTTGAACTCACAATCCTCCTGTTTCAGCCTCCTGAGCAGCTGGGATTACAGGTATGTGCCACTGATTTGAGAATATTTCAACTGAATTTTGATATGCTGTACTGTTTACTTGTAGGAAATGGCATCTCAGAGTTAAGCCTGTAGAAACGGGGCACTGTTTCTCTCTACTAACCATATCATTCGGAATTCAGGAAGGATCTCACTTATAAACCCCATATCCCATGGTGTGTAAAAATCTCTGGAAAAACTTTACTTTCACATGTAAATATGGTTCATGCTACAGCAACAGGAAAAGGTTGATGCTCTTGGTTTTTTATTTCTTCCCCAATTCATACTAGGCCATCTCTCCTGGAGTCCTTCTACTATAAGAGCACATGGTGTTCTTAATGCACAGGTTTTTTTCTCTGTCAAAACACAGCTTCAAAATATCCGATTAGATCTCATTTTCTCTGAATCGCCTCTTAAAAAACCCCCTTTTCCTGCAGATGGCAGAATCACAGCCTTTGGGACAGGAATCCTCTGTATTTCTCCTTTGCTAGAAAAGCAATAAACCTTTTTTAATCTCAAAAAAAATCAGATTAGATAAAATAATATAAGGTACAGAAAGTATACAATATGCTCCTGTAAGAATAAAAGGAAGAAGATGGATTAGCATATGCCTATTTATTACAGGATATTCTTGGACAGATATTTAGGAAAATTGTAATAGCAGGTATCTGAATTTTTTACTGTGTGCTAGTTTTTTATTACTTAAATAAAAGCTACCTATATCAAAATAAAAAAGGGCTGGGGATGTGGCTCTGTGGCAAAGCACCCCTGGTACTAAATAAAAGGCAGGTTTAGAGGTATGGGTACAAACTCCTGATTTTAAAAATTCACATTTATTATATACATGTGTACATACACACAGCTGTGTTTGTATGCATGAGTTAGTATACATATATGCATGTTCTATCTGTATCCACTAAGGCATGTGAAGCAGTAAAATCCCATAGCAATAAACACACCTGGTTCCCAGACCCTGACTTCTAAATACAATTCTCTGGTTGATCCGAAAGCTAGGATAAGGAACAAAACTGAGCCTGGAACTTTTTTTTTTTTGTACTGGAGATTGAACCTAGGGGTTCTCAACCACTGAGCCATATCCCCATACCTCCCCTTAAAAAAATTTTTTTTTAAGTTATAGATGGACATAATACCTTTATTTTATTTGTTTATTTTTATGTGATGCCAGGGATTGAATCCAGTGTCTCACGCATGCTAGGCAAGTGCTCTACCACTGAGCCACAACCCCGGCCCACCCCCAACCCTTTTTATATTTTATTGAGAGACAGGGCCTTGCTAAGTTGCTGAAGCTGGCTTTGAACTCTCGATCCTCCTACCTCAGCCTCCCAAGCTGCTGGGATTACAGGTGTGCACCCCTGCATCTGGCTAAGCCTGGATCATCTTAATATGCCAGAAAGCAAGAAAGTACTTTTAAAAAATGAAAAAGTTGTTGCATATTCTAAAGACACAAGAGCCTTCCTGAATGAGTTCCCAATGCCCCAAACTAAAATAATTCAGGTAATAAAAAGAAGCAATCATATTGGATTATTACCCAAATAATGAAAAAGTCACAAATACATAGTGATATAAATATATAGGGGACAATTCTTCCTTACACACAATTCAAATGAGTATTGAAGGAGAAAAGTAGAAAATTTAATGTAAGAACATCAAAGTAATAACTGCTGTAGTTGAGATGCAAAGATGAATACTAAAATTAGTAGGTGAAAGGCGAATTGCCCAGTAACATACACCAATACCGTGCACCCTACAGGGCACATGGTGTTCTTAATACACTGCTTCAGTGGATCATGAGACAGAGCAGATACACCCAAACTGAGACAGCCTACAAGGAAAGACAGGACTGTCACAGATTGGAAAGGACTGAGGATCTACAATAACTGAATGTAGTTAGTTATGTACATTCTTTTATTTTCTTCTCTCTCCACCTAATTTCTTTTTCTGGAAAAATATGCAGTATCATTATGGCCTTTTTGTTTAAAATCTATTTTTAGATAACATTGTTTACCATCTGTATGATTCAATCTGGTTTTTTTTCCTTCCTAATCTACTAGGAGTCCTAGTAGATTATATCCTACTATTGTATCCTTAGTTTAAAAAAATGAAATAAATATTAAATATCAGCAGTTGACATCTAAGTGCATAATATATTTCAGGCAACATGTTCAGAGATTTAGATGCATTAATATTTTTAATTGCCACAACAATCGTTATGAGGAAGGTACTATTATCATCTTCACTTTACATAGAGGACACTGAGTCAGGATAACTCTCTTGCTCAAGGTCATCAAAATGCACATTAGATAAAAAGCTCCTGCTTCCAGAACGTTGTGTTTATCAACAAACTGCCCTCCCTGCATCGAAGATGAACAATCAACCATCTCACAGAGAAATTCAGTACCAGATTCAAAGAATTAGGAGAAGTAGACAGTTGCTGCCCTTAACAGGTTAAAGGATATTTAGTAACATTTCAACTACAATGTTTCAGATTCAGAAGACAGATCTTTAAGGTAGTACATTCCCATGTAAATAGAGAAGAAATCTAACTTTAGATAGGAATTTGCTAGAGTTTGTGTTCATACAGGGAGAAAATGAAGTTATCTAATGTTCTAAGTATAAAAATTCTAATTCCTAAATAAAGGACAGTAATGCCTTAGAATCAATGTGACGTCAAAGAACCACACACTGTGTTTTTGAGGGAATCTGTATGTTTAATCCAAGTTGTTAGATTCACTAGCGTAAAGTTGTTCTAATATTCCCTCATTACCCTTGACTTCTGGAGGCAGTGAGCGATGCCCTCACTTGCTCCTGCTATTGGTATTTTGTGTCTTCTCATCCTGATCAGTTGGCCATACATTTACCAATTTAATTCACTTTCTCAAGAGGCAGTTTTGGTTTCACTGATTTCCTAGTATCTAATTCATTGATTTTTGCATTTATCTTTATTGCATACTTCCTTCTGCTTAGTTTGGATTTCTTTTGCTCTTTTCTAGTTTCTTAAGATAGAAAGTTTTCTAGCTGGGTACAGTGGCGCACACCTGTAATCCCAGTGGCTCAGGAGGCTGGGGCAGGATGATTGCAGGTTCAAAGCTGGCCTCAGCAACTTAGTGAGACCCCAAGCAACCTAGTGAGATCCTGTCTCAAAATAAATAAATAAATAAAAAATAAAATAAAATAAAAAGGACTGGGGATGTGTTTCAGTGGTTAAGCACCCTGGGTTCTATCCCCAGTATAAAACATAAAACAAAAAACAAACAAACAAACAAAAACCCACAAATGAACAAAAACATTTTCTTTTGACACTCTACATTCCCATCTGAGCACTGCTTTACTTTTATCCAACGAATTATGATATTAATTTCCATTTAATTGAAAATGTTTTCTATCTTCCCTTATTCTTTATTCTTTGGCTCATGGATAATCCAGAAATGTGTGGTTTAATTTCAAATATTTAAGGATGTTCCAGATATCTTTGTGTTACTGATTCCTAATTTCACCATGGTCAGAGAACAAAAACTTTTTTAATGGTCTGAAGTATGGTCTTGTTTATTTTATTTATTTATTTATTTATTTATTTATTTTTTTGAGACAGGGTCTCACTAGGTTACTTAAGGTCTCACTCTCAGTAAATGTTTTGCTGTTGTTGGGTGAAGTGTCTGAGTAGTGTCAATCAGGTCGGCTGGATGAAAGTATTTTCTAAGTGTTCTATACCCATATGGATTTTATGTTTAGTTCTATTGATTGATAGAGGGGTGTGAATATCTAATTAGAATTCTACACCTGTATACTTCTCCTTTAAGCTTCATCAATTTTTGTTTTGTGTACTTCAAAGCTCTGTTATTAGGTACCTATATATCTTGAAGAATTAATTCTTATCATATACAGTAATCCTCTTTATCTTCAGAAATATTACCTGTTTGAAAATCTTTGTTTATGTAATGTGGTCACTTCACATTTCTTTTGATTATTGTTTGCAAGATATATCTTTTTTCATTCTTTCTTTCTTTCTTTTTTTTTTTTTTGGTGGTGCTGGGGATGGAACCCAGGGCCTTGAACATGGTAAACAAGTACTCTTAACACTGAGCTACTTCCCCAACCATTCTTTGACCTTGATGTCTTTATATTTAAAGACTCTCATTTTATATTAGAAAGCCTACTTAATTTTACCTAATATAATAATGTTTTCTACTTGAAGATATAAATTATTTACATCTACTATAATGTCAATAGTAAATTAAACCCAAACTTACTTGGTTTCTATTTGTTCCATTTGTACCTTACAGAACCTCATAACTGTATAACTGAATTAGAGTTAGAATAATCCATTTATGAAGGAAAGTTTAAGGACCAGAAATGTTACTCGACACATTCACAGTCACACAGCTAAGTATGACCACACAATGAACCAATAAACAAGCAAAACCTCCTGTCTGAGTTAACCCACTACTTTTTTAATGCACAAGTCCTAGACATCAATGTTAAAATGATGTCAAGGGTCCTTCAAGCTGACTGCCAATCTGCTAAAATACACTATACAAAGTATGTTATCCTTTCTGTCTTCTAACTATCTATTCACAAGCTCTATCTACAGGATGGATGGAAAAATACATAAATGTCTACATATATATTTATATATAACTTGTCTATATGTTAGGATGACATATATTTTCATATTTTTCAATTTAGGATAATCCATCTATTAAATAAATTTCTGAACTAAACTTTCATAATTTTAGTCTTTCAGAAGTTTTTATTTATTAGACTCCCTTCAAAACTGTATGTTAAAAAGAGGAAGGTAAGGGCTGGGGATATAGCTCAGTTGGTAGAATGCTAGCATGTACAAGGCCCTTACTTTAATCCCCGTCACCACAAAAAACAAACAAAAAAGAGGAAGATAAACTTGTATGTGATTTTTATATTGGTACTCAAACCTTTATGAACTGAATGGCATTGCAGAGAGAAAAGATAGAAGGAGTCCTGTGTGTTATACATCACTGCTTTTCAATGCTTCCTTAGCCACGTTAGATCAAACAACTGTGATTTCTCAAATGTCAACTACATATTTTTGTTTTAAAGATGGAGAATAAAATGTGCACACCGGTAATCTCAGCGGCTCAGGAGGCTGAGGAAGGAGGATTGCAAGTTCAAAAGCCAGCCTCAGCAACAGTAAAGCACTAAGCAACTCAGTGAGACCATGTCTCTAAATAAAATATAAAATAGGGCTGGGGATGTGGCTCAGTGATCCAGTGCCCTCGAGTTCAATCACCAATACAAAAAAAAAAAAAAAAGAAGGTAAGTTTCGTCCAACAGAAAAGTAAAGGACCATGGGTTCTACAAGAAAGGTTCAACTGATATAAGACTCCACGACAGTCTGTGATAGAAATATGTTTGGAACAAAGATGTGTAGTGTCAAGTTATGGTCACTTTGGCTTGCTTTGAATACTTCTGAAAACCAAAGAAGATATGTATGAGAGAATTTTTATGAATGACAAAGTGTCTTACTTTGCTAACAAGAGCAGGAATATTCATTGAATTTGTTGCAAATCCCATGCCATATGTCATAGCAGCTTCTACTCCCAAAAACCTTGCTACAAGCTTCTCTAGTTCTTCATGCTTGTCCAGGTTTCCTGTGTGAAGAAGTTAACAAAGTCAATATCATAAAATCCTGAATTTAAGAATCACTCACCACTTTTCAAACAGAAACCAATCTATATGTTGTAACCTTTTCTATGGTCTATAAAGGAGTCAGTATTATGAAGAGTAATGGCTTATCAGGAACACAATAGATAAAATACATTTAGATTCAGCATTTCTGGTGAGAGAATTGGCAAAAACAATTTTATGTTTCTACACACCAGCTCCGCTCTAGGCCTTAAGAGGCATAGCAAGATTTGCTTCTGAGGGGCTGAGGTTGTGGTTCAGTGGTAGAGCACTCACCTAGCACGTGTGAGACACTGGTTTGATCCTTAGCACCACAAAAAAGTAGATTTAAAATAAAGGTGTTGTGTTCGTCTACAACTAAAAAAACATTTTTTTAAAAAATATTTGTTTTTTTTTCCCCATCTGCCATCCAAAACAGTGTAGCTGGTCTGTTGTAGAGATAAAACGTGTGGAAAGAGGGAGGTCTCTGAAGAATAAGAAAACATGGAAGTAGAGAGAAGGGAAGGAGGAGAAGAAGGAAAGCAGAGGGAAGCTGGGGAAACTAGCTTTTAGCATTTCTACCACCTAGGTGAGGTACCAGGCACGTTAAGTTAAGCCACCCTCTGTCCTCAGTTGTAATGGCCTACTCAATAGCATTGAACCCTTTCCAAATTGCAGGATCACAAGCATATAAATTTCTACTGTTATTTTAAACCACTAAGCTTTGGGTTGGTTTGTTGTGGAGCAACAGATAAGTTAAAAAGCTCCTTCTCTTTCTTTGATCCGACTAGTAAACTTGTATGTGATTTTTACATTGGTACTCAAACCCTTAAGAACTGAATGGCATTGCAGAGAAAAAAAGATATGGAGAAAGAATCCTGTGTGTTATACATCACTGCTGTACAATGCTTCCTTAGCCACATTAGATCAAACAGACTATGATTTCTCGAATGTCAACTACACCTTTTTGTTTTACAGATGGAGAATAAAATGTCTTACTCATTCCGGTTCTGGGTTTTATTAGCCCTGAGCTGAGCCTTGGGTAATTGAGGGCTTCCTGCTAGTGAGGTGGTTTGGCATTTAAGCAGTGGGTCTTGCCTGAGATGGACGGCTAAATTCCTTGACAACTATCCAGTGGTTTTCCTGCCTGCCTGTGAAAATCCCCCAGCATGGATTCCTCCTCATGAGAGAGTACACCACCCAGACTACGACAGTGAATTAACCCAGTTTCTCCCGCAAACTGTCACACTGAAAAAGCCTCCTGGAGCTCAGTTGGGATTGTTAAATCCCCCAGAGGAGGAAAGAACTCCCAGCTAGGCATCTTCATCTCCAAGGTGATTCCTGACTCAGATGCACATCGAGCAGGACTTCAAGAAGGAGACCAAGTTCTAGCTGTGAATGGGGTGGATTTCCAAGATATTGAGCACAGGCTATTAAAAGATCCTGAAGACCACCTGAGAAACCAGAAAGTGTGCACACTTCTTTCCTTACAATTATCATCGTCAAAAAGAGAGAACTGTGCACTGAAGAGTTGCAGCCCATGGCCCTCCATGTGGAAACTGCCAGGCCAAGCCAGCTGTTATCCAAACTGTACTGACTCTAAGTCCCCTAGTTTTCTAGGCAAGCTTCATTCCCTGAAAGGAAAGGGATGAAAATGTCAAGGTATAACCTAGCCTGTGGGGAACCCAGCTAGAAATGGCAGCTGACATTTACTAGTTACCATGAGCTCGGCACATATACATTTTATCATTTTTATTATAGAAATTGGTCAGAAAATATTGGGAACCTTCCACCTGGTTGCCTGGCCACTTCATCCTACCCTTATACTATCCTAAGTTTACACACATTGGGGACGCCAATGAGACACTTTTGTCCCTTCCTCCTCCTATCAACTCTCCCAAAATGGAAAATACAATACTGAATAAATGTCATTGTGACTTTTTGGGAAAAAAATGTTTTATTTTCATTTCCCTATTGACAAGCATCACAATACAAATGGAAGAGCAAGAAACAAAAACATAAAATTCTAATAATCATTCATTACTAAATATCTGCAATCTTCAACACAATTAATAAAAATGGAAAGTATATACAGAAGTATGGTGTTATAGCTGAACTCTGTTCACTAAAAAGATATTTTGAGAAGCTGGGGTATTGCTCAGTGGCACAGTATGTGCTTCTTAGCATGTGTTAGGCCCTGTATCCAATCCTCAGGACCAAAACAAAATAACAAAAAAACAGATATCTTGAAATTCTAACTCCTGAACCTCAAAATCTGATCTTTGGAAACAGGGTCTTCACAGGGGTAACCAAGATAAAACAAGGTTATTGGGGTGGTGCTAAAATCTTTTTTTTTTTTCAGTTTTAGATGGACACAATATCTTTATTTTTATTTGTACGTGGTGCCAAGAATCGAACCCAGTGCCTCACGCACGCTAGGTGAGTGCGCTACCACTTGAGCCACATCCCCAGCCCATAATATCTTTATAAGAAAGGAAAATTTGGACATGGAGACAGATGTACATAGAGGAGGCATGACAGAAGACAATGCTTGATACTCAGGAAGACAGCTGTGTGGCCCCAAGACAGGAATGCCAAAGATGTTGGCAAATACAGAAGCAAGAAAGAGAGTCTCCAGGGCTCTCAGAGAGAGCATGACCCTTCTGGCATCTTGATCCCAACTTCTACCCTCCAAAATGATAAAACTATAAACTGTCTTAAGTTATCCAGTTTCTCACAGTTTGTTACGGCAGCCCTAGAAAACCAACGCAGACGGGAAATGACTTAGAGTGACAGGTCCATATCTACACCCTTACAGAGTGAACATGGTTCAGTGAGAACCAAGCAAATTCATTGTATGGAACCCAGTGGAGGCTCAAAAGTTAGAGACAACAGGAATAAGAGAAGGCAAGGGTTAAGGAAAGGCAACAAGTGACTGTTTGAAAGATAATAATTAAAAACAGAAATTTTCTCTGCTGATGGAATTGTACAATGTTGCAGCACTTTGGAAAAGAGCAATTCCTCAAAAAGTTAACTGTAGAGTTACCACATGATGGAGCAACTCCACTCCTAAGTATATACCCAAGAGAAATGAATACATAGGTCCATTTTATGACCGAATAATAATCCATTATGTGAGTATTGTATATATTGTTTATTCATTTATCTCCTGGTGGACTTTGGGTTGTTTCTACTTTTGAGTGCTTGTGAACAGTGTGGCCAGACACAACAACCCAAATGGAATGAAGTAGTGACGTACGTATGCTATAAAGTATTAATGCATGCTATAACAAAGATAAATATTGTAAAAACATTAAGTGAAAGAAGCCAGACACAAATGACTATGATATTACAGGATTTCATTTATATAAAATGTCCAAAATAGGTGAATCCAAAAAGACAGAAAGTAGATTTTTGGTTGCTAGGAACTTGGTAGAAAGAGGGGAGAATATCCAGTCACTGCTAAAGGGCATGGGGTTTCTTTCAGGGGAAATAAAAAATGTTCTAGAATTAGAGTGTGGTGATGGTTACACAGCTTTTTGAAAAAATAATGAGGTACACACTTTATAAGGATGTGAGTTATAGCTTAATAAAGCTGTTAAAAAAGAAAAAAATAACATAGACGCTGCCTCATTCCTACCCCTATAGAAATAGGCAAGTAATTTTGCCTTTTCTTACCTCCACAAATAAATTATTCTTAACTCAGGGACACCAAATATAAAAGTATGCATATGCTAAAAATGGTGACTAAAGGTAAGGTTATACAGACAGGCTCGCATACTAAATTTCTCAGAAACAAAAGAAAAAATGAAAAACACAGGAGAGGAAGACAATTAGAGGGTAAATACTAGGGGGTTATACATAAATGTTTCTGAAAGTGAGAGTTGAGAAAATGCCAAAGAAGAAGTGGCACAAAACCAAAGGACCTGCTTCTTCAATATTTAAGAACCCAGCAAGAATCAAATCAGCACAATCAGTGGGAAAAAGAAAGACTCATACCAAGGCACAAATGGGACTTTTTCCCCCACCCTGCCCAGATGGGAATTCTTGATGTACTCAAGGGAAAGAGAAAGTCTTGGATGCTTTCCAGGGTAAGACACAGAAAGAAATGAGGGGGTTGTTGGGGAGGGGGAGTAAGGATAGGAGGAATGAAGGAAGGGAGTAAGAGGAAGGGAAAGGGGGAATGAAAAAAAAAAGACCAAACAACAGTGACATTCCTCATAGTAGGAGGGGAACCGGAAGGCTGGAGAATGTATATAGGAAGCAGATTTTTCATTACCCATCTTTTGGTACTTCTAGGATTATTAACAATGTTATGTATTGTCTACCCCCCAACACAGGCTTTAAACAATAAAACTTTTCAGATAGAAGGTATGATAGAATGAATGGCATACACAAAACTGGTGACCAGACAGCATTACACTTCTGATCAGCACCCCTCATCCCAGAGTACAATGATGCAACATCCTCACACTCTCAAGGAAAATATGTTCAACCCATAGTGTGGTGGTGGCAGAATTAATACTGAAGCAATACAGTTGATCAAAGACATCTTCTGATATCCAAATATATTTTGACAATTTCAGAAAAATTATCTCCCCTGCACCCCAAGGAAAGCACTGTATAATGAGTTTCACCAATATGAGGAAGGATGTCAAGAAAGAGGAAGATACAGAATTCACTAAATAAGGAATCCAAGTCAGAGGTGAAAGGGGGAAAAAAGAAGAGGAGGAGAAGCGGGGGGAGGAAGGAGGGGAGGAGGAGGAGGAGGACCAGAATGCAACTGTACAATAGTCTTGGAGAGCAACTAGCCCAAACTGAAACAGGTCAGAGACAATTACATTAAGGAAGCATCTAACAGAACCTGGCAGACTACATGAAAAAGAATATGGTTTTTCCAAGTTCTCTAGGCTCTTATTTAGAAGTTGCCTAACAGACTTTAAGGCTCCTCCAGCATTAAATTGGTATAAGATTAGAGGAATAAAAACCTTCATGATATAGCAGCTGCCAGGTATGTTTTAGATCATGCAAAACACTAGCCCACCATTTATTATTTATTGAGTTATTCTAGATGCAAGCTTTTAAAAACTTCGACTTTTACCATGTGGGTTTGTTCTTTCTTTTTATTTTGTTGATGGTTTTGGGATTGAACCTAGGACCTCATATATGCTTGGCAAGTGCTCTACCACTGAGCAATACTCCCAGCCCCCCAAATTTAGGCTTTTGGGTCAAAACCTTTTACACTGCAGGTCAACATATACTTTAAGAATTAAGCCAGGGGCTGGAGTTGTGGCTCAGTGGTACAGTCTTTACCTGGCACGTGTAAGGCACTGGGTTCAATCCTCAGTACCACATAACAAAGAAAGAAGCAGAGAAGAAAAGGAAAGAAAGGAAGGAAGGAAGGAAAAAAGGTGTTGTGTCCATCTATGACTAAAAAATACTTAAAAAAAAAAAAAAAGAATTAAGCCAGGGTTTGGGGTTGTGGCTCAGCGGTAGTGCACTCACCTAGCACGTTTGAGACACTGGGTTCGATCCTCAGCACCACATAAAAATAAATAAAATAAATGTATTGTGTCCAACTACAACTAAAAAGATAAATATTAAAAAAAGAATTAAGTCAAAGTTTATTTTTAATCATTAAAAACAAATCAAATAAGCTGGGCACAGTGGCACTGTAATCCCAGCAATCCAGGAGGCTAAGGCAGCCTCAGCAATACAGCGAAACTCTTTGCAACTTCATGAGACTCCGTCTCAAATAAAAAAATAAAAAGGGGATGCAGATCAGTGGTTAAAGAGCCTCTGGGTTCAATCCCCAGTATGGAAATAGATAGAAAGATAGATAAACTGGGTGTGGTGGCACAGGCCTGTAATTCTAGCTACTAGTAAGGCTTAGGCAAGGAGAATTTAAGTTTGAGGTCAGTCTGGGCAACATAGTGAGACTCCGTCTCAAAATAAAAAATAAAAAGTATTGGGGTTGTAGCTCAGTGGTAGAAGACCCGAGTTCAATCCTCAGTACTACAAAATAAATAAATAAATGAATAAATAAACAAACAAGTCACATCACTTTTTCTGCTCAGATACTACAAGAGAATATAAGGACCCTGATAGTAGCTAAGAAAACATACATTAGCCTACTCCTAGGATTTCACACATACAAGGCAGAGAACCTATGAAAATTTAGGGAGAAAAAAACTGAAAAAAAAATTTAACATGTTCTAGAATTGGCTTGTCTGTATGTGGTACTGGGCACTGAACCCAGGGGTGCTCTATCAGTGAGCTATGTCCCCAGCCCTGTTTATTTTGAGACAGGGCTTTACTAGGTTATTTGGGCAGCCCTCAAAACTTGTGATTATTTTGCCTCAGGGAATTTGCCTTTTTTTTTTTTTTTTAAATGGTGTTGGGGATTGAACCCAGGGCCTTGTGCATGCAAGACAAGCACTCTCCCAAGTGAGCTATATCCCCAGCCCAGGAATTTGCTTTTTTTAAAAGCAATTCTGAATATTTTCTGGAAGAACTACTTATGTTTGTTAGCCAAGGACAATGACACTCTAGGAGATTTGGGAATAAAAATTATAGTACAAACAAATAAAGAAATCGTCTAAGAAACTTCACTAGCAATAGAAACTAGAATTATTGAAGATGTACAACTTGTGTATATGTTTTAAAAGTCCAATTTAAATAATAAAGTAGATGATATGAAAAGCTACACGATTCTATTTGATTCTGTTTTTACAGTTTCATTTCTTCATTCCAAGTTTAATGAGTTGACTGAGTTGCTATGATAGATTAGACTGGGATGCAAATCCTTTTTATGCTTGCACTGAGAGGTAAAATCTAATCTCCATAGCCCTTGAATCTGGGCTGGCTTTACTGACTCACTTTGATCAAAAGAAAAAGGATTTAATATTCTGGACTCACAAAGATAGGGCATAAAAAGACTTCCAGCTTTCAGCCAGGTATCTGTGAACACTTGCTCTAGGGCAAAGCCCACTGCCATGTAAAGTAAGTGATTCTCCAAGATAGCCATGCCCCAAAGAAGTCCAAACTAGTAGCGTGGGACTGCGACACAGAGTACCAGGCATCTCAGCCCAGGTGAAACATGTGAATGAAGAGGCATTCAGAGAGCTCTAGCCACAAGCCGATGCTGACTGCAACTGTGTGAGGGACTCTGATAGAAACCACCCAACTGCACTTGCCAGCCCCAGACCTGTGAGAACTCAATCTATAAGCATTAGGGTGATGCACAGTAAGAAGAAGGTGCTTTATGACGTCTGTAGCTATCAGTGCTCTAGAACCAAATGGAAGAAGCTAAAATCCTCCTTTGAACTAAAATAAATCTCTTATATAAAACTATAACCTTTTACCTTTTATAGACTTGTAACAATAAAAAGTTTACATTACTGAGTGTCTATTTCTACAATTAACCTATTTAATTCTTGAAAGAGATCTATAAAGCAGGAATTATTAGCCCAATGTCTAGTATGAAAATAGAATAACCCTCATCACACCCTTGGACTAATAAGTGGTACTTCTAACTATTGCTATTTACAAAAGGCAATACAATCAATACTAAAGTTATAAGTGAAATAAAACTTATGGAACTTTACTAGGGACATTCTGTATGTATAACATATTGGAAAAATATCTCAAAATGTGTTACAAACATAAAAATCATCCAACCCTTCAGAAAAAGAAAGCATTTTTTACCTGATCTAAAATGCATGGCAAAGCAAATGTATGAATTTTAATACCCTAGCTCTTTTAAAAAGCAATTCTGTATCATCAGTATTCATTCCTGAGTTAAAGAAGTTAAAAGCAGCAGCAGCTAACCAAACATAACTCACACTTACCAATTTCCTGCCGAGTACTGCACACTCCAACGCCATACTCCTCTAGGACCCTGGCAGCTGCTTCTTGACATGATCCAGTGTTTCGTGCAAATCCAAGATAGTTGTAGGAACCCATATTTATAACACCTTTAATTATATTCCCTGTATACCTGTGTTTCAATAAACACACAAAATTTAATAAACTCAGGAGCAAATACAATACTTAAGTGTGATAATAAGTGCAATGTAACATGAAAGGAAACACCATAGGGATGTGGAGAAAACGTGTTCTGTACGAAAAGAAGCTCAAACTCAGTACCCAACCAAGGAAATGGAAGGTACAATCAAATACCAATTTTTACTTATGAATAATGATGAAGATTTAAAAACTGATGATATCCAGTGTTGGCCAGGACAGTGTCACAAACTAAGTAAGAATACTTTCTTTGGATGGCACTTTGTCAGCACTTATCCACTGAAAGATGTGCATATTCCTTGACTCAATCAATTCTCACACATGAGCATATGCACAAGAGGATCTATAAGAGCCACTGCAATTAATTTGCCATGTCCCTTCCCTAGGCACAGAGATCTGTGACATTTCATGTGACAGAAGCTCAGTCAGCCTGAGCCCCCAAGGAAAGATGACTGATTCAGAGACTCTACCAACCTAAGGTAGATAGGAAAAGTAGGTAAGAAAATGTTGTTACTTTAACACTCGGGGCAATTGGGATGACCCAGCCCAACCTGCTATAGCATGGCACATTTAGGTAGCCATGATAAATAAGAAACCTGCTGTGAATGTACAAGTAAGACATTATTAATACATTAGCAAATTAAAAAGGCAAACTGTAGGGCTGGGGATACAGCTCAGTAGTAGAGCGCTTACTTAGCATGTAAAAGGTACTGGATTCATCCCCCAGTAGAGGAGAAAAAAAATGTAGCAAACGGTAGAATAATTTATATAGTATAATCTCACTTTTGCATATCAAAAAGTTACCTGTGTATAACCCCAGTAGATACACTACACACATACCTCACAGAAAACATCTAGAGGAATAACACAAAATAAAATGATGACAATGGTCAACTCAGTAAAGGAGGATTTGTCAGGTAGTGAATTTACAGAGGACAGGGTTTAGTTTTCATGGGGGACTTTCTGTATAATCTATTTTTCCCCCCCAGTACTGGGGTTTGAACCCAGAGACACTTTATTGTTAAACTACACCCTCAGCCCTTGTTCTTTTGAGACAGGGTCTTGATAAGTTTCCAAGGCTGGCCTTGAACTTGCAATCCTCCTGCCTTGACCTCCCAAGTAGATGGGATTATAGGTATTGTATTTTCTTTTTTAATAGGAAAGCAATTATGGAATATTTGTGCAATCTATACAATTTTCAAAATGTTAAAATATAGTTTTTTTAACTAGTTAATCCATTTAAGTAAAAATACTTGATTTATCCTTAAATCATCAAAGAAATCAAAACATCCACAAATAAGAAACCTGCTGTGAATGTACAAGTAAGACATTATTAATACATAAGCAAATTAAAAACATCCACAAATAAATTCAGATCCTTTACTCAATTCTATTAAGTGGAATGATGGATAGTCTTAAAAAAAAAAAAAAAGACAAAACTTTTTTTCTCAACTATAACACACCACAGAATCAAATATAATTAAAAAAAATATTTTAAAAATCTCAAAAAAGCTGGGTGCAGTGGCGCATGCCTGTAATCACAGCAGCTCAGGAGGCTGAGGCAGGAGGATCTCGAGTTCAAAGCCAACCCCAGCAACTTAGCAAGGCCCTAAGCAATCAACCAGACCCTGTCTCTAAACAAAATATAAAAAGGGCTGGGGATCTGGCTCAGTAGTTGAGTGTCCCTGGGTTCAGTATTCAGCACCCACTACCGCCCACAAAAAAAAAAAAAAAATCTCAATAATGGTTAGGGGCATAGCTCAGTGGTGGAGTGTTTGCTATATGGTTTGATCCCCCTACTCCTACCCCTACCCCCTCCCTAATCCAATTAACAACAAACAAAATGCAAGGAAAGAAATCTTGGTATTGATTATATCCTCAGCTGCTACTCCTGTTTTGAGAAAATACTTAATTTGCAATATTTTATCTAATGAAGAAATTCTTTTATTGCTAAGAAGTAATTTCCCACCGAGACTCACTTGAATGACCAGTTGTAGTCATGAGACTGTCTCTCCATGATGTCCACCTTGGCTCCAGGCACGCTGCAGATCGGTCGATTCCAGTTGTCTCTTATCCTCATGTAGAGGTTCCTTGTATAGAAGTTTTCAAAATCCTGATACAATGACACAAAGTCCTGCCAACAAATGGTGAAACATGTATATTTAACTGAGTTACCTTAAAAAAAAATTTCACAACTTCCCTTTTCGAGTTGCAAGAGCACCTGAGAATGATAAGTCAGTTATATTTAATTAACTGATCTATCAGGAAAGGCATCAATTTTCTAAGTTTATTTCAACATAACTCTTTATTAATCAGTTAAAAGTCACATCACTCTGAGGGTTGACTTACATTCAAGGTTTCGAATAACTGACTACACAACTCTGACATTAAATGTTTTCTCTTCCTAATAATTAATATCCAAGAGACTGTTCTACTCCCTTCCCCCCTGCCAATAATGTTAAGGGGAAATGCCACAAGAACCAAAGAAAAGATGATAAACCAGAAATACTACCAAAAAAGAAAGAAAGACCAACAGGTAGATTATAGGAAGTCATCCACCTTGAGTAGTTTCCCTCTTGGATTGGAGTTAATAACAGAACATTCTGAAAACTAATTCCCATGTCCACAGACTTACAATCTTCCTTTCCTTCCTGAGATTAAATTAAACTAAAATGTAGGTCTATAACAATCAAGTCTCAGTGGAGGTGAAATGAATGCATAACGCTATGCCCAACGTTGTAGGAGCCCTGTTCAGAACACATGTGGCCAGACCATGTGAGCTCCACCCCAACTCCTCAGAATTCAAGGGTAAGAAAAACAAAAAGAAAACAGAATTGGAGTTTATTATGCTTCCAGTCCTCGGATCTGAGCTTGGTGCCAATCTAATCTGTTAAATAAATTAACAAAAAATAGTTAAAAAGCGTAAGCCTCATTCTGTAAAAGATTTTCATGGCTAAAAAGATCATGCAAAACTCTAAAATTAACAACTTTCTATGGACTAGTAGAAAGCTAAAGTGACTACGAAATAAATAAGAGAAGATGAATCAGAGTAGATGAATTGCCTTAAATAGAGCTGAGCAGAGTCAGAAAGAATCCTGAGCATTTGCCCTGCCTGATACCATCTCTTTCATAATTAGTTCCCAGAACAGAAAATATCCACAATGTGGATATCCCTCACAATTAGAAATTTGTCATTTAAGTAATTTGTCCGTTTTGGTAGTGTCCTCTTCCAATAAAATACTGGCAGAGTGAAAGCATGAATAGAAGCAACCAAATTTTAATTAAAGACTTTTCTTTGACTATCATTCACCTACATGTCCAACAGAAAAAAAACAAGAAAGTTGTCCCCAACCTATGTCAACTCACATCAAATGAGGTTAACAGGACTAACTCCTCTAGTAAAATCACAGTACTAATGATCTCATTTCTTTCTAATGAAAGGATAATTTCACTCAATCACTGTCTAAACACTGCACAGTAGTGTTTAAGATATTAACTCAAATTGTTGAAAGAACTATTTCCTCACAAAAAAATTTTATTAGCAACACAAAACAATACTTTTTGTTTTGAATACATAAACATCAGGAAAAAACTTGAGTCTCATCTAGATACCAGAATGGTTATCAAATCTCCAGACAGAAAAAGGACTACAGGCTAGCACGAGGTAGAACTTCCTCTCTCAGCCTTGGATAAACTGAGTTAACCAGGGACATAACTGTCTGTAGTTAGAAGGGAGGAACACGTTCCAACCTCCTAACAGAGAATTGTTATTCTGAGGCCAAGCGTCACCATCTCCTTAAGGCTACACTGAGAGGACAATGAGGTCCCTGAGATGGGAATACATTGGCACACAGTAAAGGAAGAGGAGTTGTCATACTGATGGATGTTAGAGACCAAAAGCAGGTAGCACAGAATGGTTGGAGAAGGACTCAGGCCACAGTTTTAGCTTCCCTTCACTCCCTAGCTAAGTTCCAGACTAGTAGCTTTGAACAGAAGTTTCGGTAGAGGTATCTGGCGGGCAGAAACCAACTTCTGCTGCTTAGCAATGAAGAAAAAGGACAGGAGAGGAACCACTATCTGGGATTCCAGTTCCAGGCAGTGGAAGGACTGAAGAGGAGTTGCTCCTCGCCCCACAATTCCTGTGTTCAACAGTGCAGGAATGTCCAGGTGAAATCAATTCATTTGATGGATTAGTAATCTGAATGGTCTGTCTCTCTCTGCTTCCCAACTGCCATGAATGAACTCCTCTGCCACAACTTTCCACCCTGAAGTTCTTTCTTACCTCAGCCTCAGACCAATGGAACAGGCTGACCATGGACTGAACCTCTGAAATTGTGAGCCCAAGATGTAATGTCTTCTCCTCTAAGTTATTTTTGTCAAGTATTTTAGTCACAATGACAAAAAGCTGACGAACACAAATGTATCTGTTTTACCATAATATCTTGTACATTATTTTAAATATTCTAAGATTGATGTTAAAACAGGGTTTTTTTTTTTTGTTTATTCATTCAAATATCTTTTAGTGAATACTGGATACATGCTGAATTCTTTGTGAATCTCAAGGCATTTCTTGAGATCACAGGGAAAAGGGTGGGGGCTACCCACTTTCAGAAAATGACTTTGTAACTATTTATTGTTCATGTTTGTTAGTGTAATTTTGTTTCCAAATAGATAACATCTTATGAAAGGAAGTGGACAACAATGATGATGAATAATCATAAAAGTAGCAATAATTCCCAGCTACTAAGATACACAAGGCACCAGCAGAAAGTTTTATGTGTATGTATACATCTATGCACCTAAGTACCTGTGCACTATCTTACAGAAAAGCTAAATGGTTTTCCCAATTAGGGAATTAGCAAAAACAGAACTGGGCCTTCTAATTCCAGGCTCTGCTCCTAACCCCAACGCCACTGCTTCTCATTTTGAGAAGCTTTTAAAATCTATCTGAAATACTCTGACATCATTCAAAACACTTCAAGCCCGCTGTGCTACGGGCCTTCCCCACTCTTATCCTGTCTTGTGCTCATGATGAACAGGCCCTTGATATACGTATATACAGACAGACAGACAAACACAGCTGGAATTCTAAAACCCGTATTTTCCAGACACCCTTGTGATCAGGTTGTGGATGAGATTCTACAGTGAGGCACATACACAAGATCTGAAAGGCAGAGGCTACCTTTCTTGCAACAGCTCACAAAGAAAGCTCTAGTAGACTTTAGGCTAGGTTTCATGTTCCCAGCCACAATGGCAACACCTGGATACTCACAGCAGGAGCAGCTTCCTAATTGGGGGGCGGCTTAGTTGGAATAGGAAGACCATAACTTCCTCTACCCTTTCACAGCATTACTAACACTTAATTCAGTATCTACAGTGATTCAGTTAACTGCAATTAAACTTTACTATTTCAACAGCACATTCACTACAATATTTGCTGAAAAATAAATATTTAATGTTGTAAGTACCTTTTTGTTGTTGTTGTTGTTTTGCTACCAAGGATTGAATCCAGGGGTACTTAACCTCTGAGCCACATCCCTATCCCTTTTTATTTTTATTTTTTATTGAGACAGGGTCTTGCTGAGTTGCTTAGGGCCTCACTAAGTTGCTAGGCTGGCTTCGCACTCACAATCTCCCATCTCAGCCTCCCGAGTCAAAGGGACTACATGCGTGCACCACCATGTCCAGCAGTTATCAGTATCTTTTTTTTTTTTTTAAAGAGAGAGTGAGAGAGAAAGAGAGAATTTTTTTTTAATATTTATTTTTTAGTTTTCGGCGGGCACAGCATCTTTGTTTGTATGTGGTGCTGAGGATCGAACCCGGGCAGCACACATGCCAGGTGAGCATGCTATCGCTTGAGCCACATCCCCAGCCCCTTTTTTTCTTTTTCTTTTTTTTTTTTTTTGGGGGGGGTACTGGGGATTGAACTCAGGAGCACTGGACCACCCTATTAAAGACTCTATCCAAAATAGCAAGAACACTTAAAACCATATCCCCAGCCCTATTTTGTATTTCATTTACAGACAGGGTCTCACTGAGTTGCTTAGCACCCTGCTTTTGCTGAAGCTGGCTTTGAACTCACAATCCTCCTGCCTCATTCTCCTGAGCCTCTGGGATAACAGATGTACATCAATGTGCCTAGCAGTTGTAAGTATCTTATAATTAAAATTTAAATTATTTGTCTTGGTCACACAACCATTAAATGATATAAATGAAACTTGAGACTTGTAACACTATTCCATACTAGTGGTTTTAGTGGTAATGCTACAATTCCAATAAGAATTCTCAGTGTCAGCTGGGCACAGTGACACATGCCTGTAAATCTTGCTCCTCAGGAAGACAAGGCAGGAGAACTGTAAATTCAAGGTCGGCTTGGATAAAACAGTGAGACCCTGTCTCAAACTTAATTTTAAAAAAGGGCTGAGGATGTAGTTCAGTGGTAGAGCACTGGCCTAGCATATGCTAGGCCTTGGGATCAATCCACAATTCAGAAGGAAAAAACAAAACAAAAACAAAAAACCTCAATGTCATTTCTAATTTAACCATTTTTAAATTTGTTTTAGAGTTTAGGTGTTGCAGTTTGGACCTTAAATGTCCCCCAGGGCTCATATGCTAAAGGTTTGGCACTACTGGGAGGTGGGGGAGCTTTTAGGAGGTGGGGCCCAGTGGAAGGAAGTTATGTCACTGGGGACATGGCTTTGAATGGGATCTTGGAACTCTGGCTCCTCCTCTCTTTTTACTTTCCAATTACCATGAGGTAAGCAGCTTTGTTTCACCAAAGGCTACCCATTATGGTGTCCTACCTTGCCAAGGGTATAAAAGCTAGGGAGCCAACCAGCCAACCAACTGTGGAATGTAACCTCTGAAACTGTGAGCCAAAATAAACAGCTTTTCCTTTTAAGTTTTATATCTCAATTATTCTGTCACAGCAAAGGAAAGCTAACTCACTAAGGCATAGATCTCAAATCAAAGGACAAAATTTTTCTCATTTGAGGCAAAAAACACTGCTTTGATGTTAGAATAACAAGCTTGGAAAAAAAATGCTAGAGATCAGCTTGGGCAACTTAGTGAGACCCTGTTTCAAAATAAAATTTAAAAGGACTGGGGAAGTAGTTTAGTGTCCATTATGCACGA